TGATCAGTGGGAGACATTCTCTCAGCTTGTGGGGACCAGTGGATGGACGAGGAGCCTATAAAATAAAAGCAATAAAATCACTCAAACCCAACACCCCAAGTTCTGGGACCCAATGACTCAACACCACACTCCAAGGTGGGTATTTTAACCAGTAAGTGTTCTAAGTTGACAAATCCATTCCAGATCTTAAGTCTTTACAGCATTTTTTCCCTTTAGAAGCCCAGGCTCATCAAGAATTAACACGAGTCTTGAGTGCATTTAAGTGTAGTAGGTGGTGTATAAGGAGCTCTGGTGGCTTAGTGGATAAGGCATTTGGCTGCTAACCAGGTCAGTGGTTCAAACCCACCAGCTGCTCCGTGGAAGGAAAGATGGGGCTACATCCATAAAGATTTGCAGCTTTGGAAACCCAATGGGGGGTTCCTTTGAGTTGGAATTGACTCAGATGGCAGTTTTTTTTTTTTTGAGGTGGAATGTGGGATAAATGAGGAACAAAAATATTAAAGTGAGGTGCAGCTAGATAAATAGCAGAGGGCCTGAGTGCAGATGATGCCAAGAATACTCTTACTTTAGCCCTCAAGTCTTCAAACGACCTCAGGAAGGCATTTCACATACCAAGTGCTAAAGAAACATTTATGGATACAAAAATAAGGGATACTTTACATATAAAGAAGCTTAAACAAGATAAAATATGTCCCTTAAGATGCTCATAATATATACATATACGATATGATATACTTACAAACACACCAGTCAGTTTGTCCAACATCCAATGTTTTGGTGCTGCTACACGCTTCAGGTGTTTCTTGGGACCACGAGCCTGAAGGGGAGTTTTAGATTACAATGGTGTTAGATGATTTTTAAGTTTTTCAACAGCTTACAAACCTTAGTGCAGAACTTCTTGAAAGAACTGAGCCTGTTTCCTTTTCCACAAAATATGAATGTCATAAACCACAGGGCTCCAGCAAAAAACAGAGAAAACAAAAGGTAACAGTATCTAGCAACTACAGGCACCATGAGCCTTCTCTTTTTTCAGAGAATGTTTATTGATTACCATCTTTCAGAAGTGTGCTAAATATTTCCGTGTTACTGCTTAACAGTGGAAATGGGAATCTAGCTTTAGTTGTGCTGGCTTCCAGAAGTTACGTTCTTTCTAGTATATCACGCTGGTCAAATAGCCAGGGTCTGGACTTGGCACACAGAAATGGACCAGAACCCGGTCCTTCCTATCCAAATGATAAAGTTTTCATAATATAACCGCTTGGTTCTACGTGCCTGGTGTGAAATTAAACTGACCTCAGCACAGCCACGTGTCAACAGGTGCTCTTTCCAAACTGAAGCAAAAAGCTGACCATTTTCAGCTTAAAATCGGAAGGAAAGCTTTTTAATGTTGTGCATACATGCTTATCAGCCACACAACACTAAGTCTGGCAAAGTAAACCCTTTTTGACAGGCGTACCCAGCGCCTAGCTCGAGCCAGGCCGCCCCGGGCCAGCCGTCTGCACTCTAAGGTGACACGCAGCTCCGCCCCAGGAAGAAAGCCACTTCTCCCGGGATCGCAGGCTAACTGGCCGGGCCAGAAACTCAGGCCTTGGCTCCAGTGGCATCGATCTACCCCTCACTCCCACCCCTACCCCAAGGGCCGGCATTCGCCCTCGCCCTGGAACCCGCCAGGGCCAACCCCAGGGGCCGCGCTCCTTTCGCCTTTGCCGTGCCAACCCCTGTGGAGGTCTAGTGGCCCGGGACATCCTCAACTCTGGGAGGATGGGAGCTGATGTAACCCAAGAGCTCGCAAAGTATAGGCCTTACCATGGCTGCACTAGGCACGGAAAGAGGACCAGCTCCTTCCGGTGTCCCCAGAAAACAAGGCCGACAGCTGCGCGCGCCAGGGCCTCAAGCGCTCCGCCCAGCGCAACCATTTCCTGGAACGCTGAGATTCTGTCTTGCCACCTACTGGTGGGAGGTCAGAAGTCCCGGAATGAAGGACAGCAGCGGAAAGAAGGGCGATTTCCTCCTTTCCTTCCTTCCTCCCTCTCTCCCTCCCTCCTCCCTCCCTCGTGACGTATTCGCTGAGACTCTGGTGTGCGTGATAGATTCTGTTCCAGTTGCTGGAAAAGCAAAGATGGGATACATTTTAATAATTTTCTTTTTTTTCTTAAAAATATATTGTCCCGGGGGGGGGGGAAAAAAAAAAAAAAAAAAATATTGTCCCATCTTCCGGGTTCCCTGAAGCCAGCCAGCTTGCTTAAACTTTGAGTTAGGAAGATCCAACATTTTTTCTCTCTTGCTCATCTGCAGAGGGGATGGGGATTATAGGGTGGAGGTGATTACGGATCTTTGCTTGAACCTTGGCACCCTGCCCTTCGCGTTCTGTACAACCCATTCGTCACTGGTCACTGATCAGTCTCAGGGAAGAGAAGGAGCATCAGAGATAATCTAGTCATCTAACGAAAACATAAATCTGATCATGTTGTCCCCCAGCTTTGAAACTCCACCTCCCCCTGCCCCCACTTCCTGCCCTAGGGAGCAGGACAAAACTGCCTGACACCAATCTCCTTGGTTTGTTTTTATGCCATTATTTGTCAGAGGACTTGAGGAATTCCAAGCACCTTTTTTAGTATATTTTTTTTCTCTTTCATTTTACACTTACGCACACATGACATTCAAACAACAATAAAGGGAATTTGGAAAAAGCTAAGAAAATCACAAACAGTATCTTCCTAAATACCCTGAACACATCGTCTGTATTCATTTGTTCCTGTTCCTGTTCTCATTCTGATCATTTGTGTGGATGCATACTTTTACATAATTCTAGTCCTAGCATACATACCATTTTGTATTCTTTTATTATATTGTAAACACTTTCCAAGTTGCTGTATAACAACCAAACCAAACTCACTGCCATCCAGTTGATTCCAACTCATAGCCACTCCCATTGGTTTCCAAGGCTGTAAATCTTTGTGGAAATAGATTGCTTCATCTTCTTGCTGTGGAGCACCTGGTGGGTTTGAACTTCTGGCCTTCTTTGTAGCAGCCAGATGCCTTACACACTACACCACTGGAGCTCCTTAGTTACTGCATAGTTACATAGTTATTATTTTGGCTACTGCATCATATTCCATTAAGTGGATGTTCCAAAATTAATAAAATAAGTCTTTTATTGTTGGACATTTAATTTTTGCACTTTTTCGTTATTATGAATGCTGCTACAATGAACAGCATTCTTCACCTAGCTTTTTCCTTCAGTTGAATGATTTATTTAGAATAAATCCATTCCTTCAATTCCTTCAATGTTTATTGAGTGCCAGCCTACTCTGTGCTAAGCACTGTGTTATGAACCAAGGATACAGAGATGATTAAGATCTAGTTCTGGCTCTGGAGGAACTCACATAATAATGGGACAGGCAGGCTGGGGAGGTGGGGGAGGACAAATGAGGAAAATCTCATCAGAAAGATGGTAGTAAGGCCACTGGGAACTTAGGGCTGCTAAATCTTGTTTAAGATTTTAAAAGAAAAAAAAAAACTCACTGCCCTCGAGTCTGACTCACAGCAACCCCCTCCTTGGGTTTCCCAGGCGGTATCACTACAGAAGTAGATTTCCCAATCTTCTTTCCGAGGAGTGGCTGGTGGGTTTGAACTGCCAGCCTTCTGGTTAATAGTAAAATGCCTTAAGCATTATGCCACCAGAGATCTCTGTTTAAGATTTGGACATAGAAAATTTAAGGGAGAACAGGATTAGCTTTGAGCTTCAGCAAGATAACTCTGACTGTTAGCTGTAGAATTGTTTGGTTGTTGTTGTTGTTATGTGCCATTGAGTCGGACCCTACGCATAGCGACCCCTCCTTGGGTTTCCAAGGCAGTATCACT